AGCTTGTGCGAACGACTTAAATGTAGTTGTGACAGTCGTGTTGCCGCCGCTGCCAAGTAGTCAACCACACCAGGCATGCCCACATCGTTGGCCAGCCCCATTGCTTCAGTCATCAGCTCCATGGCTTCCGTTGCATAGTTGGCTCGTTGCTGCCTCCCCCTCTCTTCCGCATTGAGGACATACTCCGCTGCTGCTTGGGTTTCCGACTCGATGGATTCGAGGAGTTGCGAAGCTTGGCTTCTGGCTCGCCGAACGGGGCTTGGCGTTGGCGGGTCCCCCCTTTCGGTTTGATTGGTACCCCTCCTCGTTGGGCTTCTACTTCTCGCTGTGGTCGCGGCAGTGGGGGGTAGCACGTCCCCTTCTCGTACTGCCGAGGTTGTGGTAGATGAAGTCATAGTGCACGCCACTTCCTCAGACCAGGGCGGGGCCGTTGTGGTTCTGGTTGTTGTGGATCTTCCTCTGAGCTGGGTCTGTATAAGGGCCGTGGGCTCGAAGTCGTCGGGGTGGTCTTCGTCTCCCCCTTGGCGTCTGGGATGTCTCCCGCTATTGGCATCCCTGGCGTTCCCCTCGTGGTTCTGGAAGATCCCCGCGAGTCCAGGGTGTTCGTCCTCCCCTCCGCGTACTCGTTCTTCTGCCGGCACATTCATCCCGTCTATATATTCAGCAAGTCGCTCCCCTCGTAGTAGTAGCCAGATCGCGTCCGCTTCACATTGGCCGTTGGTACGATAACTCTCTGGGAACTCATGCTCGAGCACGGACAGCAGCTGGGTCGCGCACCTGTGGCCTTCTTCGGTGTCCCCTGCCGGGCCCGGCCCCGGGCGGTGGAGTCTGCAAATTAGTTGGTGGACACACGCGTGGCGGCACTGGAGTGGCATGTTGTTGAGTTCCCCCCTGATCTGCTGAAGAAGGTCCGTCCACGTTTGGGGTCGTTGTGGATGATGTTCCCCGGCTGTTCCCCCCAGCTGCTGCATGAGTCCCATCTCATCCCCATAACCTTCGAAGAGCTCTTGCGAACTTGACGATGGCCTCTGCGAGGGGAGTTCTCCCCTGATATCCCCCAACAGGTTGTCGTGGGCGGGGACAACGATCTGTAGCTGTTGAGCTAGTCTGAGGAGGTCGTCTTGCAGCGTCGCCGGGTCCACGGTGAACTCATCGTGCTCGGAGTCGTAGTTGAGGACGATTTGGTCGAGGATGTCCACTGCTTCCATGAGTGCATCTCTCCCCTCTGCTATCCCCGCGCTATCCCGGAGTCTGATGGAAGCCCCAAAGTCTGCGACGACATCCTCCAGGAGCTCCCCCACTTCGGCCAGTTCCGTGCGCACCGACGTAGCATGAAGTGTGTCCCTCAGGATGTGTCTGACGACTTCGACTAGGGTGGCCGCCATCTGCGCAGGGTTTATTCTCCGGAGCTCCCCCCTCCCTGCCGTGATTGCTGCCGTGCGTGATGTCTCCGCTCCCGTTCTCCACCTCGGCAGAACGCCTCCTGCAAATAGATGTTCTTCACGAAGATGCCGTCGATCGCGGGGTGGCGTTGGGTACGTGTTGGAAGTTCTCCCCGTCGACGAGCTAGATGCTAGGCCCCCTTGCCCCCCGGAGGGGCCCGCCCCCCTGTCCGGGCTTCTGCTCCCCAATTTGGAGGGCTTCCTGCTCTTGGGGTAGTAGTCGAGCTGGTCGAGGTAGTTGTTGAGGATCCCCCGCAGGTAGATAGGCCCAATTGCACCATTGCTGTGTCGTCGTCCTCCGGTGGTGCTTCATCTTCACTCGGCCAGTCATCTTCGGAGCTGCTCGGCGGTTTTGGCGGCGGCGCTTTGGGGTCAGCGCGCTGCTCCGCACGTAGTTGCTCCCCCTGCTGGGACACGAAGGCGAAGGCTGTGCGCGCTTCCTGCGAGTAGAAGGAGACCCTTGCCCCCGCTGCTGTTGCTGGCATGTGTTGCGGTGGTTGGTCCTCTCTTTTCCCCTCTTGGGTTCGCTGTTGCTGCTGCTGCTGTTCGTCGGGTGAGGGTGTGCGGCCCTGCTGCGCACCCATTGCGGATGTTCCCCCATCCCCCTGGCGACGTCCCTGGCTGTCTTGGAGCACAGTGGGCATATGGCTTGAGGCCGGCACTTGGGACGCGGGGGGGGCGTAGTAGATGCGGTCGGGCGGTGGCGGCATGACTGGGATTTCCCCCGCCGCGATCTGCCTCAGTTCCTCCCTCCGTCCCCCTCTTGGTTGGTAGGGGTCTTCCTGCGGAAACTGCGTCTTGGCCCTAGCCACCCGCACGTCCATGTAGCGTTCGGGGGAAACGGAGAGGTAGTCCAGCTCATGGTCTTGGGCCAGTGCACTCATGTCCGGCACGGGAGGTCCTCTCATCATGGCACTTGCGCGGTATGCGTCGCCTTCTTCTTCAGTCAAATCCCCCAACACCCACGACGTTGTTTTAGGTCGCCACGTAAGCAGGTACTTACGATCTTTCAATGGCGCCCCCGCAGGATCTCTGGAGCCAGCCGGGGGTAGGTTGCGTACTCTTAACACCCATTGTTCCGGCTCTAGGTTGCGGTGGACGAGGCCAACGGGGATAAGTTCGAACGCTGTCCCCTGAGAGATGAACCCCTCTCGCTCCCCCCTCCGTGAGGTTTGTCTGACTCTTGCGAAGCCTCTGTCGGGGACTCTCCCGTACGGCGGGGTGAGTTCGCTCCCCCTCGCCACCACTTCTCCTACCCAGATGCCATGTGCGAGGTAGCGCAGGTGCAGGTGTGTGCTCCCGATAGTGGGAGTTCCGGCGGCCAGGTCAAGGGGGGGGAGTATCCCCAGCTGTACGTGAAGTGGTTGAAGACGCCGTCCCTGTCGTGGAGCTTCTGAAGGTCTTCTCCCCGCCACCAAGCGACTCCTCCTCTGGTTGACACTGGCCTGGCTTCTTGTTCCTCTCCCGCTGCTGAATCTGCTTGGTGGCTGCCGTGTCCGCCTCCCCTTTGTGTGGCTGTTGCGTCTCTTCGTTGCGGTGGGGCCTTTGCAGGGGCTTCTCGGCTGAGGTCTCCTCTTTGTCGGGCCTCGTATCGCTCTCGGTGCTCTGCTGCTGCTTTGTCCCCCACTGCTGCTGCCGCGTCCCCTCGTGGTTGTGGTACTTGTTGTGCTTGAGGTTGTTCATGACGTAGGTCTCCTCTTTCTCGGGCCTCGTATCGTTCACGGTGGCGAGCTGACTCTTTCTCCCCTGTTGCAGGGCTCGCCCCCTGCTGGTCCGTAGGGGTTTGCTGTCCCCCATCCCCCTCCGCGGCGTCGAATGGCACCATATTGACCCAGTGGGCCACTTGGTTCCAAGTGTAACCATCGGGTTTATGTAGGCCTTGTTTGCGGAATTCTGCACGAATTTCGCTCTTGGTCGCCTTATTCCCTCTGCGCTGGTCACCTTGGCCTTCGTGATAGTTTCCCTGGCTCGCCCCCCTTGGCATTGGCCCTCCTGCTGATCTTGTCCCCCTTGTGGCTCGCAGACCTCCTCTAGCTCCGGGACCTGCTCAGGTACTTCTTGGCCTCCTTCTGGGGCTGTTCTTCGTGCCGCTGTTCTCGGGGTTGGTCTGCTGATGCTTGCCCCCATCTCCGGCTCGGCGCTTCAGCTTGCTCTTGTGCTTGTGCACGCTTGTGTTCCCTGATCTTCTCCAGCTCCTCCGGGACGAGTCTTGGCTGCTGCTGCTGCTGCTGCTGGCGTTGCTGCTGCGACTGCGCCGCCCCCCCGGGACCCCCCGATGTTGCTGGCTGTGATCCTGCAGCCCCCTGTGGGTCGGCTGTGGCCGCGTGTTGCCGGGGCTGCTGTTGCGGCCCCTGTGCATCCCCCGCTCTGGCCTGTTGTGCTTGTATTGCGCTGAGCCGGTTGGCTTGGTATGTGGCGGACCCCCGTATAAGCGCCTGCTGCTGCTGCCAGGATAGGGCTGTTACGTGGGCTTGGGTCGGGTTCGAAGGGCTCACCGTTTGCGCTCACCTGTTGCGCTGGGTTCTGCTGTCCCTGCGCTTGCCCCCCTTGCCAGTGTGCTTGCTGCCAGTGCTGCGCATGCCCCGGCGTGTGTTGCAAGTTTGCATGTTGCCCTCCTTGCTGCTGTGCCCATGTTGTTCCCCCTTGCGCCGCTGCTTGGGAGTAACTCTGCGCGACTGCTGGCAGCGGGTCGTCCTCCTCATCTTCGTGCCATGGGTCGGTGTGAGGGTCATAGACTGGGGCGTATCTGGGCCTCCAGGGTCCGTTGGAGGGTCCCGCTGTTGCTGCATACCCCCACGTTCCCCTTCCTTGGGTTGCTTGCTGCGTATATTGTGGCTGCGGGTAATGGGCCTGGTGTTGGTGTGCTGGCGACCAGCCACTGTGCCATTGGCTCGTCGCTGCTGGTGCTGCCCCCCTGTTCACAGCTTGTCTGGGGAGATACGGCTGCTGCTGTGGCTGCTGGTGGCCGTGTTGGTGTCCCCCGACTCCCAGGTTGTTCCCCGGTTGTGCTGCTGTGGACCTCCCTGGCTGCTTGCACTTCCCGTGGCTTCCCCCGAGCCCTCGTCCGCGAAGATTGACCATCCGCTATGGTACTGTTGCAGAGGGTCTCTGTGAGTCGCTGTCGCTTGAGCTCCTTCTGCTTCTCCTGGAAAAATTGGCTGCCAGACCCCCTCCTCCAGGACCCACGTGGTTCCTTCCGGGTAGCCCATGCTCAGCAACATATCGGGGTGGAGCGGTGGGGGCATCGGCATGCCTTCTTCTTGGAGCAAAGGGGGTGGCGGTGGTGGTATTGACGTTGTTGTAGTGGTGGGCGGGCCCAGTCTTGCCGTCCCCCTCCTTGGCGGGTTGGACATTGATATCTATACTCCGCCTGGATGTCCTGCTCGTAGGTCTTGGTCTCGTTCTTGTCGAGCTCCCCGCGGTAGTCCTGGTGAGCGTCCTCCTCTGCATCCCCGGCTCCTGCGCGGTTGTTTGGTTTCCCCCTTCTCGCACGGCTTCCGCTGGCCCTTGGTGATCCGCACCGGTGTGGTACTGTTCGCGGACGGCGTGGTTCATGGGCTGCTCGTGGCGCTCGTCCAGCTGTTCGTGGTGCTTGTCCTCGGCGGTGGTCCCCACCTCCTCGTACTTCTTACCGACTCCCCCCTGGGGCTTTGTCGGCAGTGGCCGTGACGTGGCCGTCCCATTCATCGTGCCCGCCGTTCGTGGGAGGGGCACTGCCGGCGAGTAGTTTGCCAGGGCTCCCAAGAGTCCCCCCAGCACTGCTGCGAAAATAAAGGTCATGTTGTGGCTCATGGCGCTACGGTCGTCTAGAACGTAGGCGTTGCAAAAGTTTCCTGAATTGAGCCAAGATGCTGCTTGTGGATGTAGTCTCCAAACTTCCAAGCTGCACATGGGCGGACTGAAACTGTGACTGTTGCGTGCAGGCGGGGCGAATCCCCTTGTGACATGTGACACATGTGGCTGTCTCCCTGGCGTGCTTGACTTCGCTCGTGAAGTGTTCCGCTACGCAGGTGTTTTGCGGGCACAAGCATGAGGTTGGCGAGTTGTGGCTTCTGGCGGTCCCCTTCTGGCGTTTGCCTTACTGCGTCCCATGGGGAGGTCCCCTTCGGCTCCAGCCCCCCAGTTCTTCGCCATGGCCAGCAACCGAACGTCAACGTGGCACATCCTGAATCGCTCTGACCCCCCCTGAGGTTCTCGATCCCCTTCTCGGCGTGGGTGCCAGATTAGCCAAGGATGGTTGCTTGCCAGACGCCCATGGTGGGTCGTGCGCTTGGACAAATTGCGGCTCCAGGCTTTTCCAGTGGCCCCGGTCTTGTGCCGCGGTCACCCAGTTGTCGCCAGCCAAGTTGGCGATGTGTCGCTCGACGTCCAAGGCCGGGCAGAAACGTCGGGCATGGCGAGCTCCCCCTCGTAGGCTCTGTTGCTCGCGCCACCAGCTCATGTTCCTCCACAATAGAATTTCTTTGAGCGGGCTTTCTCTTCGGGCTGCATGTCCATATAGCTGCCAGATGGTGCCGAGGACGAAAGTGCTCCATCGCCCCCCCGCAGATTTCCTCCGGAGGTAGTCGGGCAAGCCGCAGGCTACGTTGATTCCACTCCACCCATTCCTCCCCCGGCCTCCGCCGTCCCCCCAGCGCCTTCCGGAGCAGCTGTAGCTGGACAGTGTTTATGCCACGCAGGAGGGCGTCGTTCACTGGCCACGTGGAGCAAGCCCACAGCGCCGCGGGTCTCACTAACGCGAGCATGGCTTTGAGCTTTTCGTCTACGGAGGTGGTACTGCACATGACAGCTTTGTTTGCATGGAACGCCTTGCGCGCACGCTCGCTGGCCCCCCCAGGATGACGGCTGGCACGTTGTCGAAGGTCACCGGCGAACCAAGGATGGTCATAATGGCATCCCCCTGTTGTATTGGCACCTGCTTCCCCCCAATGTGCAGTGGCTCCTTGTCCTCGACATTCGCAATCGCCTGCGTCTTTTTGGCGTTGAGCACCAGGTTCTTCTTCCCCAGTTTGTTTTCTAGCACTGCCAATGCCTTCACTAGCCATCTGCGGTTGTGGCTCCAGAGGTAGGTGTCGTCCAGGAAGCTGGCCCCCCCTTGCGGGCTTGGCGGGAGTTTGGGGTTCTCCCCCTGTCGCGTCATGGTTTGGAGCTCTGCGAGGACTTCATCTAGCGTCTCCCCAATGGCCGCGCTGAACACCACCGGGCTGTCCGGCGATCCCTGGCGGACGCCGTTGGTTTGTGCTTGAAGGAGCTCCCCACAGACCGCCAGCGTGATGTTGTCAGCTCGCAACAGTTGTAGCCACAGGAGCGCTTCCCAGGGTTGTCCCCCCATCTCCCCCAACCCTCTTTGCGATGAGCTTCCCCATATGGAGTTGGGATATGCTGTCAAACGCCTTGGCCACGTCCAACTTCACTACATACAGGTTGTCCCCCCAGTCTTTGGCGGCTCGCAGGAGGCGTCGAATACCCAGAACGAGTTCGACGGCTTGACTGCCAGGCTTTGCCCATTGATGTTTGTTGCCCGCGTCCAGGTAGCATCTCCCCCGATGTAGTAATAGTTGTGCGAGCCATTTAAGCAGCGCTGAGCTAAGGGTGATGGGGCGTGTATCCCCCCAGCTTTGAGGCATCATGGTCTTGGGCAGCAAGACTGTCAGCCCCTGTAGCATATCCGGTGGTATCCTCCCAGTGTAGAGCGCGTCGTTGAAAATTTCCATGAGGCGGCACTTCCCCACTGGGTGCTCGAGCAGGTAAGCGCTTCGTGGGCTATGCCGTCCACCCCCGTCGCCTTCCCCCATTGCCACTTCTGCATGGTGACTCTGAGCTCCATCTCCCGGAATGGGACCCACGGCGTTCTTTTGCATTGTCGTCGGAGCTTCTCAACCTCTTCCCCCCACGCTTTTTCCTCCTCCTC